ATCCTGGACATTACCCCCAATAATAGCGAAGCAAATGGACATCAAATGGAGAATGAAATGGAGAATGACATCGAAGCTGGGATTATGCAGGGGTGATATGAGGTAGAAGTTTAATCCTGGTTTTTTGTGAGTGTATACAAGGTACCATGCGAAAATTGGTAATTGCGTATATTGGGTGTCAAGTTCAGGAGATCTTAAAAAAAAGTCATGACTGATATGAGGTGGAGTGTCAATGAGCAAGCAAACCTTGCACCAGGCGTGCTCAGGCGCTGGGGCTTTGTGACACTTACCATCGCCTTGCCACAAATGACTGGGACTGGGACTGTCAAGAGAAATTGCCCCAAAGACATCCCCGTTTTCTGTGGACCTTTAAAACACGACCCTAAACCCTAAACTAAACCCTACGCCCCTAGGCCTACACCCCAAAACCTAGACCCAAATCCCCGAATCCCTAAACTCTTCAGAACCCAAAAACCTAAACCCCTAAACCCTTAAGTAAGTGCATCTGTAAGCCTCGTCGCACGCCGGTATGCCTGAAGCCCAAAGGGTCAATCTATCTGTGTGGTATACCTGGGCCCCAAAGTAGATCTATGAAAACCTCTTTGAGCCTTATAAGTATATAGCATGTAACATGAGCCCTTTGGGAAGGATAGACGGCGTGGTCCTCATCAAAGAGGATACGTTGACGTGCTGCACTTACTTTACTCTGGTGTTCTGGAATCTTCAGGTCTTCCTGGCAAGTTAGGCAAGCTTCAACATTCATCCGGATGTTGCCGAGAGCCCAAAAGCGCTAAGTAGAAGAACGCACCATAGCTCCTGGATCCGTCTAGAAATGATGACAAGGGAACCGAGTTCTTTATGAAGGAAGGGTACCGGCCTTTTTGGAAGTTGTTTAGTGGTTTTTGGTCCTCATTTTTTTTCTTCGAGTGTCCAGGTAGGGGCTCAGTTGTGCAATGCAGGTCCAGGTGTTGTGAGGTGTGCGAGCCCTGCAAACGTGAGGGTGTACGAGTTGGGGTTTACTGAGCCATAGTCTAAACACCTTAAAAGGGGATTATATAGGAGACTATTATAGGAGGGTTTTTAGGGGGATACTAGGAGCGTAGACTATAGCTCAAGTGACTTCTAGACAGTCGGATCCGTCCTCCCCTTACCCTAGGAATGCAAATAAGTATCTACAGACTTTAGTGCCCGATGTAGGTGCTATTTGTATGCTTGGATCCTTAGGGTTACTTGCTCCACAGCCAGAGAAGCCGCACTCGCTCGGGTAGATCCTTGCCGAAAGCATCAGCGTAAAAAAACCTTGTGGTGGCTTCGCAACGGTCCTTACAGAAAGGATTTAAACAATGGCTTGTTGAAAAGGAAATTAGTTGAAGCACTCAGAACAAAAAGACCACACTAATTATTCACCAATACAACTATATGTTCCCATATTCGGGTAACCCAGGTCCTTTCTACATTGAATGCCTCTCTGTAACCCCAATCTGCAGGTCATCTTCCATTTTCTTTGCATTTGGTTCCGTCCGAAGTGCAGGATTTCTTCTGTGCACAGAAGAAGTCGCATGAGGGTACCGTGACGGCTAAGCAGGAAAATGTTCCGTCCTTCTTAACTAGAAGTTGGAGTAGTTCATGTAGCAGTGGTAGGCAACAACACTAGCATAACAAGACGAACAACCCAATATTACAAAACACGAAGCCCTCAACCCACCACGCCTGCCAGCATCCAAGGAGGCTTCTAGCTTCATGCCTAAGCCCTATCATCAATCCCTCTAAACCTTGTCAGCCCTGTACGTAAGCCCTTGAAACTGTAAACCCTCGAAAATCCTGATGCACTGGCGCCCGCTGCCATGGTGCTGTTGAGCATCCAAAACTTGAGCGGTGCGGCCTTCGAGCACGAAGCCGACTCTTGTTGCGCAATCCAGGGTGTAGCATTCAGGGTTTAGGGTCTGGGGCGAGTTTAGGGTTCTCCAAGAGGGGAACTGTGGGTTTCTGTCCCAGAAACCTAGTTTTTGCACCTGGTCTTCCTCACCGCCGCCTTCACGGCTCAAAGGGTGAGCTTTCCTAGCTCCTTGGGTTTGCCTAGGCTTTAAGAGCCAAGGGCTACGCAAGGCACGCGAATACTTCAGCGTGCACTGGGCTTACGTTCGGAAAATGACTTCGAGTGCTTTACCTGAAATCTACTGTTTGCTGTCTGCATTCCACTTCTGATTTCTTCAAGTTGGTAGCGGGGCCGGTCGTGATTCCTGCTGCCGGCTCCTTCCCTTTCGTCCTCCCCAACCCGTGTCTTTCTGGGTCGCGCCCATACCCGTGGGGTGCGCCCGGCCTTTCCTTAACCCGCCTGCCTTCCGCATCTGTAGTCTTCCGCCATGCCGGCCTCCGAGAACTTCATTCCTCTGTTTGACAACAAGCCATCCTCTTACAAGGAGTACCGCCAAAGGCTCCTCTTGTATAAGAAGAGGGCCAAAATGAATAAGAAGCTGCCCGAGGCTACTATCAATCTTCTGACCGCCCTTTCGGGGGCTGCTTGGAGACAGGTGCAACACATAGCAGATGAGGCTCCGGACCAAGGCGAAGAAGGTTTCGACAAGGGCGTCAAGGCCTTGGATCAGGCTTTTCGCTACGACGACCGGGTTGAGATGCCGAAAGCTTTGGATAAGTTTTTCTATGGCCCTATGGCCTTCAAAGACGTCCTGAGCAGACTTTGCTGCAATACTGCGGTGATCATCGCGAGGCACTGTTCGAGTTGGAGAAACACGGCATCAAGCTGCCGCCTCCAGTCCTTGGATGGATTTTGCTGAAGCGAGCAGGGCTCAACGCTGAGCAGAGGCAACTGGTCTAGACGCGTTGCAAGCTTGAGCCCGACCGCATCGAGGAGGCCATGTTCTATATACTTGTTCGGCCAGGATTACCGGACTCAGTCGCGCGCACCGGCGTTGAAGACGAACTGGCGAGGACAGAGCAATCGTGCCGGTTCTTCCCTGGGAGGATGGCGTCGGCCAGGCCACGCACATGCTGCCGCGGAAGAACCCGTTCACGGAGACGACGACTGGGACGACGCCGACTACGACGAATCGGTTTTCTACGAAGGCAACAGCGACGGCACGGATGTCCCAGATGCGGGTGCTTAAGAAAAAAACCCCGATGAATGGGATGACCAGGTGTACTTTGGAGAGAGGAGTCGGCGGAAGATGACGAGCAGCTGGAAGAGGTGTATGCCACGCGCCTGGGCGCTCGTAAGAGGCTTGCCGAGGTTGAAAGCCAGTCGTGATATTATCCAGTTGTTGCTGTGGCTCCGGGCTCTGGAGCTCAGCTGCCTGTTGCCGCAACTGCATTTCAACCTTCCCCTATCCCCAACCCTAAAGGCATCGCAATGCCTTATGCCATCTGGCCTGGCTATCTCGTCCGCTGCTAAGCGTCCTCGTGAGGGCTAGTCCTTGCCTCGAAGCCATTGCATTCCTCCTCTTCGGCCGGCGTGCTGCGCTGTGGCGGCCCGGCTTCCAAGCAGCCTGCCCTTGCCTTCTCCTCAGCCGGAGTGCTGCACCTTGGTGGCCCAGCGCCCACGCACCCTGTCCGGTCTCCACCTTCATCAGTCTCCTACTCGCCGTGCGACAATACCTGCGCCAGCCCATCCGTCTTGGACTCTTGATATGCCCAACTTCACTGCGTGGCTGCGCCAGCAGTGGCGCGCCGTCTACTCCGCATTGCACATGCTGTGCATCATTACCATCATCGCTTTCCCCGTGTCGGCGCGCCTGGGTTTGTCAGCCCAGCTGAGCGCCCCTGCAACATTGAATTTTCCGCCGCCTGCCTTCCAGCCATCTTGCGCCAGCACTTGTGGGTGTGCATATGCCCTGGACTCGGGCCTGTCTCCGCCCCAAGAATGCCAACCTCTGGCTCAGCAAGATGGCAGAGCCTCAGCCATGTTGACCGGGCATCGGCCCGTTATAACTGCCATCAAGCACCTGATGTGTAAAGGCGTGCCCCCGACCGTTTCAGGTTCTCCCGTGTGAACAAACGTTTTCTGTTCGGGGGCGATGCTTCAGGACTGACCGGTCAGTCCGACTGGTGTGTTCACTTGCCAGTCTTCATTCGAGGTACTCCGGGCAGGCTCCCAATGTTCATTGTGGAAGGAGACACGCCAATCCTGATCGGTCGGCCGGTCCTTAAAGCACTTAAGATAAGATCCGACTTCGAGAATGGCACCGTCTCTGTGCTGGGAGGCGAGTACGTGCCTGCCGTGCTTGGGGATAAGGGTGAGGTCATGCTTCAGCTGGACGAAGGCCTGGACGAAGACACATTGCTTTGTCACCAACCTCTGTCCCGGCGACGTGTCTTTCCTGTCCATGCAGGATTACCTTACTGCAGCTGGCCGCCCTGGGCCCAGCATCTGTTTCCCGAACCCGTGTTTCCTGCCCAGGACAGAGAGCTAGATAGCCAGGCGCATGCCCGGGGCCAGCCTTCAACATCTGCCTTGCCTCCTCCCAACATGCTTGATCTGCCTGAAGCGGCCCGGCTTCCGATCGGACCTAAGCTCTGGAAGGCCTTGGAATGCCTTGGAGATTGCAGTGCGCCAGGCCAGCAATCAGGCCAACCGGGTCATTGAGGAGGCGCTGTGGACGCAACCCGACAGCCCATGCATCTTCTGGGAGGTTTCTTCGGGCAGTTGTAATCTTGCTGAAGGCATGCGCCAACGAGGCTATCAGGGCCGCACCTTTACCTTTCCCGATTGGGACTTTGAACGTCCCGGGGACCGCAACAGATTCTTTTCCCTCCTTCAGGAGGAGTGTCCGCGTTTAAATATGGCTGGGGCCTCCTTGCAAGAAATGGTCACCTCTCCAACGCCTCCGCCCTGCAGAAGGGCAAGAGCTGCTAGAAACAGCGCGTGCCGTGCACTACTGCTCCCACGTTCGATTCACTGCCAGAGTGTTTCGCGTGCAGCAGTCTTCAGGTCAAGCTTCGGTGGTTGAGCACCCGTTGCCAAGTGCGGCATGGAAAACCCCAGCATGGCAGAGCGTAGGCAGACACGCCACCCGCTTGGACCAGTGTGCCCAGGTGCAGTCCTCCCCGACGAGTGCGGCGTGCTAGCACCAATCCGTGAGGCCACCAGGCTTCAGGTTACACATGAACGCCTGCATCATGCTCTCAGTGTGCCATGCCCCGGCTGCCCAAAGCACCTTCCCATCATTGGCTCCAGTCCTCGCGTTGGATCGCGCTCTCACGCAGCGGAGACCTATCAGCCCACCATGTGTGGATGGCTGGCCATTGCCCTGGATGAGTGCTTGCAAGAAATTGCTGGTTGTTCGGAGCTGGCTTACGCCAATGAGGATAGCATGCCTGACACACAGGAAGAAGCTGAGGAAATGACAAGTGCCGAACCGTCGTCGGCATCCTCCGTGCCACGACCTCCTGCTCCAGTACCTGCGCATAAGAACACTGGTCTTGAATCAGTTGCTCGAACGGCCTGCGGAAGCACGACGCCTTGTTTCTCGGCTCCATATCAATCTTGGACACCCAAGCCGGGGACAACTTGTTTCTCAGCTCACCAGCAGGGGAGCCAGCCAAGCACTCATTAATGCTGCACACGCACACACCTGCGAGGTCTGCGACCAGCTGTCGCGTCCGCACCAGCCGCCAAAGACTGGCATTTGCACCGCCACCTTCGGCTGCTCGCACACACTTTGTGGATTACCCTACCAGAAGGGCGCACTGTCCCTGTTCTCGCGATGATGGATGCAGGCTACTACGCACAGAATCATCTGAGCAGTTCTTGCAAGCCATTGAGCGAGGTTGGATAAGGTTGTTTGGGGCCCCCAAGGTTCAGGTCGATGCAAATCCCTCTTGGAGTTCTGCAGCAGTTCGCGACTGGGGATCTGATCACTCGGTCGAGCTGCTAGTGAGCCCAGGCGAGGCACACCAACCGGGACCATATAACGGAACCCGGGCTCGCAAGGAGGCTCTCAAGGTCAGGGATGCAATTTGCCGGTGAAGTGGGTAGGAGGGAGGTTGCGACTTGTCCCCAGTACAAGCAGAAGCCCCATGCCACAACGAAACGTTCCACAAACCATGAGTTAGCAAAGCGCTAAACGCAGTGTCACCAGGTATTATGCCTGGATACTGCAAGGCTTCATCACAGTGGGAACTCTTTCAAATTTTGGTTTCATATTCAGGAAAGTTTGAATTGTTCATGTCACCTCGAATTCTGACATGCGAAAATTAGCCCCAAATCCTAAAGCCTAAACCCTAGAACCCTAAAACCATAAACCCTAAAGCCCTGAAACCTTAAACCTTAAAACCCTAAACCCTAATCTAAATCCACGGGCTCCTATGTAGTTCCATTTTGGCTTTGTTATGGTTTTGTGGTTGGGCTTACAATATACTACCCAAAAAGGAACTACATAGGAGGTTCTGGGTAAACCCCTGGATTGCTTTGCGAAGTCCGCCCTCCCTTTGTTTGGATCTGCGAAGCCGGCCAGGAGCAGATTCCAGACTTGAAATACACAGGCTGAAGAGATTGCAAGGGGTTTAGGGTATTTAGGGTTTAGGGTTTAGGGTTAAGGGTGAATAAATCCCGCCTGGTATGAAACATTTGCCGAATATGTGGTGGCACGATATTGCGGCGTATTTGGTATTAGGAGGTCCGGGGTTTATTCTTAGGCAAGGGGATTGCTAAATCCTGTTCACTAAACCCACAAACGGGGCTATATATAATTGGCATTGTTTAGGAAACTTACTATAAGGTGCATTAAGGGGGATATTAGGAGTTTAGATTATGGCTCATCTTACTCCGACCCCTACTCTTAGTCTTATAAACCTTTAGCCCTCTAGGCCCTATAATAAGTCTACCGCCAAGAAAAGCGGCCCCAGAGACCCAGTTCATTGGTAGGATCTGGGAGCCTAGATTCCTTGTAGTGTGTTCATAGTATAGTGTAAACGCAGACCTCATACATGACCATTCGAGTCCTTAGCGGGGCCCAATCTGAAAGAATTCCCATCCAAGGACGATGATGCAACGCTGCAAGATTTGTCAGAGGCCCTCGAGTCAAGGATTGGCCTCCCAGCAGGAACAAAGCTGGTGCTGATGTCTGGTGAGAGCGCCTTGGATGAGTGCAGGCTCTGCGTGAGACACCTTCTGAAAGCGCCGCTTACTTATGTTATCCAGCGGGTTGGTGCCGGCCAAGCAGCATTGAGTTTGACACGAATGTTACAACCCACGGAGTCTTTTCTGAGTGAGTCTCCGTTGACGCTAGAAGAAGTACATGACCTCAAGGCAATTTCTGCGCTGACTTTCGGGCACAGGTTCAACCAGAGTCTGGAAAGTGTCAGGTTGCTCGCTAACCTGCAGACTTTGACATTTGGCTACGATTTCAACCAGAGTCTGCAAGGTGTCACTTTGCCAGTGACACTGCAGACATTGACATTTGGCGGTCAGTTCAACCAGAGTCTTAAAAGTGTCACGTTGCCAGCTAACTTGCAGACCTTGACAATTGGCGAGGCGTTCAACCAGAGCTTCGAAAGTGTCAGGTTGCCAACTAACCTCCAGAACTTGACATTGGGCAGGGCGTTCAATCAAAGTCTGGAAGGTGTCAGGTTGCCAGCTAACCTGCAAAGCTTGAAATTTGGCGTCGAGTTCAACCAGAGTTTGGAAGGTGTGAGATTGGCAGCTAACCTGCAGACACTGACCTTTGGTACTTTTTTCGACCAGAGTCTGCAAGGTGTCTCGTTGCCAGGGAACCTGCAGAGCTTGACATTTGGCGACTTGTTCGACCAGAGCCTGGAAGCTGTCACGTGGCCAGGTAACCTGCAAAACTTGACATTTGGTTACAATTTCAACCAGAGTCTGGAAGGTGTCACGTTGCCAGCTAGCCTGCAGAACCTGACATTTGGCCATCATTTCAACCAGAGTCTGGAAGGTG